TCAGGACTCTGTGCAGGACAGTCAAGTTCCTCCACCCCAAACTCGCTCATCCATGTCTTTATGGACCTTTGCATTGTGCACTGGTGTGCAGTCATGTTGGAGCAGGAAGGGACCATCCCCAATCTGTTCCCACAAAGTTTGGAGCATGAAATTGTCCAAAATGTCTTGGTATGCTGACACCTTAAGAGTTCCCTTCACTGAAACTACGGGGCCAAGCCCAACCCCTTAAAAACAACCCCACACCATAATCCCCATACCACCAAACTTTACACTGGGCACAATGCAGTCAGGCAAGTATCATTCTCCTGGCAACCTCCAGACACGTCCATCGAATTACCAGACAGAGAAGCGTGATTCGTTACTCCAGAGAACATGTCGCCACTGCTCTAGAGTCTAGTGGCAGCGTGCTTTACACCACTGCATCCGATGCTTAGCATTGCACTTGGTGATGCAGCTGCTCGGCCATGGAAACCCATTCCATGAAGTTCATTATGCACTGTTGTGCTAATCTGAAGGCCTCATGAAGTTTTTGGAGCTTTTGACTCTGCAGACAGTTGGCGACTTCTGCTTATTGTGCGCTTTAGCAAGTGCTGACCCTTCTCTGTCATTTTACTTGGCCAAGTTGCTGTGTTTCCCAGTTGCTATAATACCACTAACAGTTGACCGTGGAATGTTTAGTAGTAAGGAAATTTCATGGATGGACGTATTGCACAGGTGGCACCCTATCATGGTACCACACTTGAATTCACTGAGCTCCTCAGAGCGGCCCATTCTTTCACATATATTTGTAGAAGCAGTCTGCATGCCTAGGTGCTTGATTTTATACACCTGTTGCCATGGATGTGATTGGAACAGCTGAATCCAATGACTTGGAGGGCTGGCCCTATACTTTTGGCAATATAGTATGTGTGTGTATTGTATACACGAGATCTGTGATTATATGCTAGAGTCCAAGGTACAGTCTGATCTGGATGATATATATGTGATATATACTTAGATATGGTTGCACACAATGTATACCTGGTTATAACTTGGAAACCAGTGTACAGTCTGATCTGGATGCTAAATGTATAGATATGGTTGTACACACACAGGAGATCTGTCATTGTCTGGAGTCCTGGTTACAGTCTGATCTGTATACTGACAACTGATACACAGTTATGATTGGACGAGGTCAAAGGTCCCATGCTGCTTGGTCATTCTTCCCCCTATAGTTAGTTCTTTAGAAATAGCCTGTCATACAAAGTAACATGCCTGCAGGGTTAATTTTGACAGCTAATTTTCATGAAGGTCAGCCATAAACAATGTGAACTTTCTTTCTTGCAACCACAGTCATTGTTGATGGGGGAATCCCTCTCGCCAAGCCACTGTGTTCTCCCAGTGAAGGAAGCCGTCCTTTCTGGGAGAAGACAGTGATTATTGGTGATAATCGCATGTAAAATCCGACAAGCTGCTTGTACCCAAATTGATCAATTGATGAACTTGGGTACATTCAGCCTGCGCATACATGGTTTGAATCTCGACCAGTTCCTGCTAAACTGGCCGAGATTCGAACGGTCTATGGCCAGCTTTAGTTATAGTCAGTCTTTTGACTAAAAATGCCATTTAGTTTTAGTCACATTTTAGTTTGAATTGTTTTAGGTTTAGTCGGTTAAATCTTTTGTCATTTTAGACGACTAAATCTGCAGTAGAGGATGGCTTTAGTTAAAGTGCGATGCATTATTTAAAGTGGAGCTCCACCCAAAAGGTGAAGTTCCGCTTTAAGGCTTGGTTCACATATGTGCGGGTGGTGCTGCTGCAGATCCGCACGAAAATCCGTGCACACCACCCGCACAGAGGACTGCGGACCCGCGTGCATGTGCCATTATTTCTAATGGCACGCCGCCCGCACTGGAAAACGTAACCGTACTGGGAACCGAGGGAACCGACTTCTTCCCTGCATGTCACGGGCACGGGAGTCTATTCAAATGAATGGGCTCTTGTGCCCACGCAAAACGTGGCCTGCACGGCCGCATATATGTGAACCAGAGCTAAGGCCTCGTCCCCCACTCCCCAAAGGATTTGCACAGTAGTTGTTGAGGTCAGGTTTAGCTCAGAATTTTATCCTCTTCACAACTGATGACGTGCGGTTTAGAAGCACAACAGCCTGTATACTGCACCTGAACTGGACCGCACTGCTCAGAAATCGGACAGGACTCTCTTTCAATCTGCACTGCAAGTGCATTGTATGTATGTGAACAGGCACCATAGGAATCAATGTTATTTCACATATATTGCGGATTGGATGTGGTTCGTGTTCAATCCACATCTATGTGAACCGCCACTCAGTGTCTCCTGTGAGATCAGGAATTGTGGGAGCATTTTTGCAGCCAAGACAGCCCTGGAGGGGTGACAGGAGTCAGGTAAGTGTTTATATGGGGGGAGGGCAGCTAGGAAAGATAGTTAAGTTTGTTTTACCATATTGCAGAGAATGCGCTAAGGTAAAAAAAAAAAAAACCTTTAGCCTGGGTTCACACTGATGCGGTGCGGAATTCACAGCGTTTTCGGTGTGAATTCCACACTGCATCACAATCGCACCCCATTCATGCGAACCACTGAGGGTGTGTATGTTAAGTTAACAACACCCCAAAATCGGTCCACAAAACGCGGTGCGATGTGCAGAATTGAATCGCATGGGTGTGAAAAGCCATGTGATCTGATTCTAGTGCGGACCAAATAAAGGGTCCTGCACCTTTTTGGCGCAGATGCAGTGCAATTGGAGTCATACAAAATGTAGGGCTCCAGTCGCACCGCACACAATTCGCATGTGATTTGCATGGGAATGCTGTGCGGTTTCTGTGCGAATCACATGCGATATACCGCACAAGTGTGAACCCAGCCTTATACTTCAAAACTACTTTAACTTTATTAAAATTGCCGCCTATTTCTATGTACTGCAACTCATAATGGACATAGGATCATACAGAGAGCGATCTGGTGTGGTAGGGAAGATTGCTGCATTTTTCCACACCTCAAGACCCCATTGTAGTGTGGACAGGGCACGCAGGAAAAAAGCACAGGTCTCCATACAAGCGTGAATGAGCCCTACCCCTGTTGTGTAGCGTTTCCCAATACACCTTCACGGTAGATAACATTGTCAGCAATAGGTGTTGTTCACACCTGTGCGCTGTGTTGTCTTGCACTGTGCTGAAATGATGCACTCATCACTTTTGCACAACCCATCACTGCAACAACACCATGCAGCTCATCCCACTGTAATGCAACGTGACCAAATGTGATTGCACAGTATAAATATATTCACAAGAAAAATGTTTCCTCTTCGTGCACATCGTGCCACCATTGTGTTTTCCTCTGCTACACTCAGCAACTACGAAGGAAGTGATGTTATAGGAAATAAGCGCAAGACAACACAGCTCAGCGCAACCAAAGTGCACTCAAATCGTAAGTAAATGCATTGCACATGGGCATCAATGTGTTACAATAATGCACTTTACTTTGTCTGCGCACAGATGCTGTAATGATTGCGGAGAGTCCGAGCCAGCTGCTGGTCAGGCATCTAGGTGGATTCCAACATTAAAGTTACTAAACCCACAACAGTAAAATCAGTCTGTATATGCAGTAAAGCATGCTTGTTATACTCACTGTGGAACCTGTGGGTTATTCCTTTTGCATTGTGTAAAAACGCTGTTTGATCCTGACTGTTCTGGTCCTCCCCTTCTCCCAGTGTCCCCCTTTTATCTCCTGAAAAGACATATCGTGTGGAATCCCTCTGCACATTCTCAGTTTGGTGTGTATTGCTAGAGAGGTTTTTTTTTTTTTGGGGAGAGTACATGTGATCAGCACAGGGCCAATCAGCACTGTACAGACAGAGGGCAGGGGTTCTGCATCCTCCTAAAGCAAAATGAAAACTCCTCCTACAAGCTTTAACCAGTGCTTGGCTGAACACTGATAGAAGTCACAAGACTGGTCTAGCTGCTGATGAGAAAGGGTATTTAGCAGTTTATATTTAATAAAATAATTGCATTTCCATGTTATGTGTACTGTGGGAGACCAGATATAGTGAATGCAGGGTCCTGGGTTTAGTAACACTTTAAAGTGGGGGTCTCTCCAGAGTCTGGGCCGGTTGAGTGACGTCCGCAAACAGTGAGCGTTAGCCCACTGTCACTTACAATAGCATAGTGGGGATGATTCATCCATCAACCTTGTTTGTGTGGAAGGGAGGAATCTGTTCAGTTTGGACTGATCAGAAAAGGAAAATAAAAAAACTGATCCATTTATGGGCAGCTTTAAACTGTGTTTTCATATGTCTGGGGAGCCACAGGTGACCTGTACAGATGGGCATAGACGTGCATGGCTGTACAAGTTTTTACATGCGTAAATACTGATGTTCGTGTGCACCTAGCTCAATGCCAATGCTCTTTTGCATATAACCACATACATGTAAATACAGCCATGAAATGATCTTATAAGTGTTAGGTTTCTTTGCTAAGACATTTAGAACTAAAGAAACCTCTAGGTCGATTTATTGCTCGTTTCAGTCATGTTTGTGTTTAACCACTTGCCTACAGGGCACTTATACCCCCTTCCTGCCCAGGCCAATTTCCAGCTTTCAGCGCTGTCACACTTTGACAATTGCGCAGTCATGCAACACTGTACCCATATGAAATTTTTATCATTTTTTTGAGACAGAGCTTTCTTTTGGTGGTATTTAATCACCTCTGGGATTCTAATTTTTTCTTAAACAAACCAAAAACCAATGAAAATTTTGAAAAAAAAAAGTTTTTTCTTAGTTTTTGTTATACAATTTTGTAAATAAGTGATTTTTCTCTTCACTTCACTGATGGGCACTGATAGGCTGCAGTGATGGGCACTGATAGGCTGCAGTGATGGGCACTGATAGGCTGCAGTGATGGGCACTGATAGGTGGCACTGATGAGGAGGCACTGGTAGGTTGCACTGATGGGCATTGACAGGCATCACTGACGGGCACTGTTAGGCGGCACTGACGGGCACTGTTAGGCGGCACTGACGGGCACTGTTAGGCGACACTGACTGGTGGCACTGACTGGCACTGATGGGTGACATTGAAAGGAAGCTCAGATGGGCACTGATATGTGGCAATGATGTGCACTGGTATGCACTGATATGTGGCATTGATGTGGCACTGATGGGCACTGGCACGTGACACTGATTGGCACTGGCACGTGGTATTGATGAGCACTGACAGGTGGCACTTCTGGGGCCACACTGATCATCAGGGCACACTGATCATCAGTGGCCTGATGATCAGTGTACATGTCCCCTCCGCGGAAAGCCGATTACCGGCTCTCCTCTCCTCTCACGCTGACAGCTCGAGAGGAGAGAAATGCCGATAACCAGCATTTCCGTGTTTACATGTGATCAGCTGTGATTGGACACAGCTGATCACATGATTGAGCCGACATCTTCGGCTGTTTCTGTGATCCGCTGTGTCCGAGGGACACAGCGCATCGGCGATCGCCGCGCTGCGCACTCCCTGAGCCGCGCATGCGCAGTGAGAATGGTAGGACGTCATATGACATCCTAGCAGAATGAGAGAACCACCTTGCGCCCGTCATTGTACTATAGGGCGGGCGGAAGGTGGTTAAAGTGGTACTAAACCCAGGACCTTGTTCACTCTATCTGGTCTCCCACAGTACACACAACATAGAAATGCAATTATTTTATTAAATATAAACTGCTAAATATCTTTTCTCATCAGCAGTTAGAGCAGTCTTGTGACTTCAGCAGAGCACTAGATAAAGCTTGTAGGAGGAGTTTTCTTTCTGTTCTAGGAGGATGCAAAACCCCTGACCTCTGTCTGGGCAGTGCTCTTATTGGCCCTGTGCTGATCACATACACTCTCCCAAGAGGAAAAAAAAAACCTCTCTAGCAATACACTGTGCATGTGACTACAGATTCAGTCTGTATCAAGTGGTCATTTCAACAAGAGGAGGATCAGAGAAGACAGGCCTTTTTGCATAATGTAGAGGATTAACCCCTTAGGTTCCACAGTGAGTATAACAAGCATGCTTTACTACATATACAGACTGATTTTACTGTTGTGGGTTTAGTAACACTTTAAATGATAAGAGTGGTGCACTGTGGGTCAGCAGTGCCCAGTGCACTCCAATGCATGTGATGTGAATGGACCCTAAATGATACCAGAATAAGCATGCTCGGTTGACATCATTTGTAGGTTCAAGCATAGGATGGAGCTGCAAAATTCTGTGACCTGTGTTTGGCGTATTGGTTATGGATCCATGGTGTGCAGGCCACATATTTACTGATTTGTTTTGTGTGTGCACACAGGGTTATATACTAAAACTGCATGGTGCAAAATCTGGTGCAGCTCTGTATAGAAACCAATCAGCTTCCAGTTTTTATTGTCAAAGCTTACTAGAACAAGCTGAAGTTAGAAGCTGATTGGCTATCAAGCACAGCTGCACCAGATTCTGAGGGCATCAGTTTTAGTAAATCTCCCCCACAGTGGTTGAACACTTGTGATTGGTTTTTGCTGTTGATCTCTTTTGTAGATGCTGTCTGAACCAGCAATGTATGTGGATTCAAGGGGCAGATGTCTTCTTTGTTATATTTGTTAGTACAGGTTTACTTAAAATCAATACCAACATCTGTGCTGTACAGCAAGGGCCATAAGGTACCCCCACCCCCAAACACTGAAACCATTTCTAGAAAAAAAAAAACTAGTATTGATTACAGATGCATGTCCTCCCTGACCACTCACCACAATGCAGGGCTTTAGCAGCCTGATACACTTTTGGACATTTCTATATATTTTGTGTGTATGTTGTATTTTTCCAGCACTGTGTACCATAAACCTGTTGCTAACCTGGGTAAGGCAAACTGAGTATGAGGTGGAATAAGCAAAAGCTTATGACCCCCATTGAGTAGGTTTCCCTTCATTTGCTGCGCCATAGTCAAAACGGAAAGTCAGAGGAAATCCCACCATCTGGTTTTCACCAGAACGAGAGTCCCCATTAGAAGTTTTCCTCTCTATTCTTGTTCTGGTTACAACTACACACAAATAGAGGGAGAACCTTCTTGTGGGCACAGACAGGTTGTGGTGTTCGAATTCCTCTCCACTCTATATCCATTTTGGCTATTCGATGGCGCTGATGATCTTGGGAAATAATTTCATTTTAGAAAGAAGAAAGACAATGTAACGATTTTAGAGAATGTTGGAGGGAATTGGAAAATTAATGTAAATGTTGCTACTGTAGGTTCCCCATTTATTTGCCAATTTCCTCCAGAGTTCTCTAGAATGGTTACCTTGAATTTCTTTTATTTCACCTTTAAGATGTACATTGCTCAAAAACATTAAAGGAACACTTTGAAAACACCTCAGATCTCAATGGGGAAAAATTACATGCTGGATATCTATACTGATATGGACTGGGGAATGTGTTAAAAACGTAAGGATGTCCCATCGTTTGATGAAAATGATCAACCTACAGAGGACTGAATTCAAAGACACCCCGAAAATCAAAGTGAAAAAATGATGCAGCAGGCTAGTTCATTTTGCTGATATTTCATTGCAGCCACTCAAAATGGTACTTATTAGGTTGTATGGCCCCCAAGTGCTTGTATGCATGCCTGACAACGTTGGGGCATGCTCTTAATGAGACGACGGATGGTGTCTTGGGGTCTTTCCTCCCAGATATGGACCAGGGCATCACTGAGCTCCTGGATAGTCTGAGCTGCAACCTGGCGGCGTTTAATGGACCAAAACATGATATCCCAGAGGTGTTCTATTGGATTTAGGTCAGGCGAGTGTGGGGACCATTCAATGGTATCAATTCCTTCATCCTCCAAGAACTGCCTGCATATTCTTGTCACATGAGGCCGGGCATTGTCGTGCACCAGGAGGAACCCAGGACGCACCAGCGTAGGGTCTGACAATGGGTCCAAGGATTTCATCCCGATTCTTAATGGCAGTCAGGGTGCCATTGTCTAGCCTGTAGAGGTCTGTGAATCCCTCCATATATATATATATATATATATATATATATATATATATATATATATATATATATATCCCTCCCTCCCCAGACTATCGCTAACCCACCACCAAAACGGTCATGCTGAATGTTGTTACCAGGAACATAATGTTCTCCACAGCTTCTCCAGACCCTTTCATGTCTGTCACATGTGCTCAGGGTGAACCTGCTCTCGTCTGTTAAAAGCACAGGGTGCCAGTAGCAGACCTGACAATTCTGGTGTTCAGTGGCAAATGCCAATTGAGCTCTATGGCGCTGAGCAGTGAGTACAGGGCCCACTAGAGGATGTCGGGCCCTCAGGCCACCCCCCTGAAATCTGTTTCTGGTTGTTTGGCCAGAAACATTCACACGAGTGGCCTGCTGGCGGTCATTTTGTAGGACTCTGGCAGTGCTCATCCTGTTCCCCCCCTGCACAAAGGAGCAGATACCAGTCCTGCTGATGGGTTAAGGAATTTCTATGGCCCTGTCCAGCTCTCCTAGAGTAATTGCCTGCCTCCTGGATTCTCCCCCATGCTCTTGAGACTGTGCTGGGAGACACAGCAAACCATACTGATGTGCCATCTTGGAGGAGTTGGACTGCCTGTGCAACCTCTGTAGGGTCCAGGTGTTGCCTCATGCTACCCATAGTGACACTGACCCTAGCTAAATGCAAAACTAGTGAAAAACAGTCAGAAAAGTTAAGTAGGGAAAAAATTAACAGAAAGTCAGAGGAAATCCCACCAAATTAAGGGAATCCTTGGTTTTCACCAGAACGAGTGTCCCCATGGAAGTTTTCCTGTCTATTCTTGCTCTGGTTACAACTACTCACAAATAGAGGGAGAACCTCCTTATTGTGGGCACAGACAGGTTTTATTAGAGTGTAAAAACACAACATCTGTGGAGAGTTGATGAATTTCTGTTCTCTTTCTTGTTCGGAGGGAAAATGGTATAGACTATCTATCTCATGAACCTTCCTTTTGCCCCACCCCCATTCCTTCCATCCCACTACTGCCCTTCTCCCCTCCCATCCCCCCCACCCAACCCTTACCTAAATTACTAAGAACCCCCTGGCCTATACATTGCCCTGGAATCTGATGTGGTATTCCCGCACTGATGATTCCTAATTTGGGTTAACACTCTGAACATAGACGCCTACTCCTGCCCCCAGCTCTCAACATGGGGTTTAAGTATTTAATATCCCGTTTGGCTTCCCGACGCCCTGCCATCTCTGCCTATGTTACCTGAAGACCTACTGGGGAACACGAGGGGTTGAGGTTGAAAGGGATAAAGAAGAGAAAAAAACAAGGGGGGAGGGGGGAGGAAGACCATAGTTCACCTCCCAGAGCCCTCTGTCCTTCTTTGCCTCTCCCACTGACCCCCACCCCTCCCCCCAATTCTAACTATCATCTTTTTTTTTTGCTCACTGGCTTCCACTTCTCTTTTTTTTGACCTTACACTTTCACTTTCATTTGACCCCTCCGACCACCCCACAATTCCCATATTCTGCAGTTCAAAGTTTTCACAAAAGTCACTAAGCTCTTCTAGGAACCTTAGCTTTGCTGATTCTCCATCTTTCCACCCGATCAGACATGCTGGAAATCCCCAATTATAATGAATTCCCTTTTCCCTCATCTGGTCCAATAAGGGTCTCATGGGTCTTCTAGTTAGTCTCCATGGCAGTGTCTGCAAAGACATGTAATTTAGTTTCTCCGAATTTCATTTCTGGAGTCTCTCACAGTTTTTTTTTCCATATTCTTTCTCTGTCCTCATAATGGTTGACTTGGACAATCATGTCTTTAGGGGTGTCTGATGTTACTCCTGGCGGGCATCTTATTCTGTATATTCTCTCAATCTTCAGAGGGTCTGTGGCTGATCTGCCTGTCAATGGGTTAAACACCTTCTTTATTTTTCCCCATAGATCCTCCTCATGTGAATCCTCTGGGAGACCCCTGATCCTTAAGTTATTTCTTCTCTCTATTTTATAGATCCTCCTATTTAAAAGACAATTTCCTCTGTTCCCTTCGCATCTCCTCCAACTGCATTTACAGATTATATATCTGCTGAGCTTGTATCTCCATTCTCTCCTCCACTTCTTCTATCCTTGTTAACACTTGTCCAAGATCTTTATGAATCACTGCCATTTCTTTTTTCATAGTTCCAGTTTTGCAAACATTTCTACCATCTCTATTTTTGTAGGAATTTGTGATATTACTCCCTGCTGTTCAGAGACATTTTGATCTTTTATACTATTATTGTTTATCGATTCATCTCACGGTCCTGAGATACCCCAGCTCCTTTGTCTTCTAACTGTCCAGCCCTACAGCTCAGGTATACAGTTGCATCAGAAGAAATAACGACTTGCCCACAGCAACTCACCCACCTATCCTGGGCTTCTGGAACCGTTTGTCTTTATACGTTCCTCTATCCCAGTCGGAGTCTCGTACTCCCATTTTCAGGATCACCTGAGCAGGGGTCTGGG